AAAATCCCTTCAAAGTCACATTTTCATTGTCAGTGCCTGGGTTAAAATCACGACAGCTCTTTGGTCTGTGACAGCTTTAAGCGCACGGGGCTACCGGTCTTCGTTCCTACTGCGATGGAGCACAGGGCTCAAGTGCTGCAGAGCAGAGACACCCCTGCAGTGGAGGCAAAGTCCTGTGGTTCTGGGTCATTCCTCTGCGCCCTGCAAAGCCACACAAATAGGAAGGAAAGGCATTTGAGGATGGGAAAAGTTGTGCAGTTAAGAGATCGTAGCGGGCCTCAAGCTGCTGCCTTTATCAGGGCTTATTCTTGAGGTTCGTCCTTGGCCGGCGTCTGGGAGCTTGGCACGTAAGCTACTCCCTGACTGATAAAAATGGTTCACGTGGCCGAGACTGTGCGGACATCATTGTTCAGCAGAGAGTTATGCCGAACACGTACTCTTCTTCTTTGAGTTTGGGATTGCGATCGCTGCTGGGGGGAGGGGCCTACATGAGCACACACTATTAAAAGCCTTGGGTGAAGAGTCTCTTCCCAGGGCAGACACAGTGCACGCACTTCAGTGAATTTTTTACTCCCGGAGAGAGAAACACACTCATGTGTCTCCTCACTGGTGGGAGGGGGGGTCAGAAACCTCCAGACTCTGCCAGTGTCTGTTTCTCCAGTTGATCCTGTCATGTAACCTTGCACTGTAATAAACCTTACCCAGAGTACACCTTCTTGCAGAGTCCCAGAAGTTCCCCTACCGATCCCCGAGTGTGCGTGTGGCCCTGGGATCCCAGAAACATACACTAGCCGGCACCAGGGCTCCTCAGGTGTGTCTGGTGACAGGTAGTTTGCCTCCAGGCCTCGGACGTGTGCTGAGGATGCAGCAACACAGGCTGCTCGAATGAACCTCTTTCTGAGCCGGGGCCTTTGTCCGGGTCTTGGGTGGGTTTTCTCCCTCGTTGTCTGGCCTGATCCACTCGGAGGACTCCTTTGCCTGGATAGAGGGCCGATAACACGAAAGGCTGAACAGGATGCTTTGCTGCCACCGCCAAGGGAATGGAAGGGGAAACGCAAGCATCTGCCACAGCGCCTAGACCACAGATCGGAGCGGTCCAGGCCCCCACCGTGGCCTTTCTCAGGGTGAGGAGGCTCACAAGCTGTCCTAGTTCTCCAGCCTCACGGACAGAAGGGACAAGAGACTCGGCGTGACCTCTCCCAGTTCCTCAAAAGCTCTCTACTAGCACTCTGGCTCAGCAATGCCCTGGCTTTTGACTCTCCCAGAAAGGAATCATCTGTTTTTTTGTATGTGGTACGGTGGGGGCGGATGGCGCTCGGGGCTGCAGTGAAGAGGACCCTTATGCTCTCTCTACAGACCCAGATCCCCCCATATTTTCTCCTGCCTTCAGTTAACTCGGTGCGCATAACAACCAATATCAAGGTCACCTTGAGTGCTGTTGTCCCCTCAGGAGAGATCTTCTTCCCAACCCCTGCTTTTTGTCTGAAACATCCATCAAGGGTGTGAAAAGATAAACTGAGGCCTATTGATTTTTTTTAAAGAATTTATTTGAACAAAAATTGATATGAATCATACAACATGAAATCTAGCAGATAGAAAGGAGCTCCAAGGAGCTCTGTAAGATGAGAGACTTTTCTAGGTAGAAGGGAGGAGGAACAAGGAAGTTACAGGAGACAAAACAGGTTATTGCAAGGTTACTTTTCTTTAGGGGGATGGCAGGGGTCTATTAGGCATATTGGCTAACTGGTGCTGATCTGGCAATTTCTCAATGACCTGTTTAAGATTTCATTTCTGGGAGTGCTGAAACTGTAAGTAAATCTTATTTTACTGACCTGGAACTTAGCATAAGGACTCCATTTGGGGCCTGCTCTCTTGTTTTTAACAGGGATTATCTGAGGATATTATCACTAGCCCTTAGTCTTGCCTCTAGAAATTTCTGTGTATAAAGATGGGATAATTAAATTTTATCTGAAGGCCACAGTAGAAACCACCACTTTGACCTCCTATTTTATTTACTGTGTTCAGACAGATTAATTAGAGTTACAGGATATGTCCCATGGAAGAGCATAATCCAAGTGATACAGAGCCAGCCATAGAAAATTCTACGCACTTACGAGTACTGTTTTAGCTGTAGCCTAAAATTTTGATATATGTGGCTTTTGTTATTGGTTGGTTCTAGATATTTTATGATTTTTATGATCATTTCTTCTGTGACCCAAGTTAGTTCAAGGAATTTTTATATCTAAACATTTCAGTCTTGTCAAATTATCTTTTTTTTTCAACATTGAACTTAAATTACATTGTGATTAGAGAAGATGATCTATACCATTCAGTCCTTTGAAAAGTTGTTAAGATTTGCTTTATGGCTCAGTATATGGTCCTTTTTTGTAAATGCTCTGTGAGATTTTTATTTTGAATGCATTTTTAATGTTTATTTTTGAGAAAGAGATAGAGCATGTGAGAGTAGGGGCTGCAGAGAGAGGATCCAAAGCAGGCTCCACACTGACAGCAGCAAACACAGTGCAGGACTCAAATTCACAAGCTGTGAGATCATGACCTGAGCCAAAGCTGTCCATTTAACTGACTGAGCCACCCAGGTGCCCCTTCAGTGTTCTGTGAGATTTTTATTTTATTTATCTTATATTTTCTTTATTTTTAAATTTTTATTTGTTTATTTTGAGAGAGACAGAGACAGCGCCTGTGGAGAAGGGGTAGAGAGAGGGAGAGAGAGAAAATCTCAAGCAGCTTTGACAGCACAGAGCCTGATGTGGGGTTCAAACTCAAAACCACAAGATCATGACCTGAGCTAAAACCAAGAGTTGGATGCTTAACTGACTGCTTTTTGCTTGAATTCTATTTTGTTTAATATTAACATTTATGTATTCCAGCTTGCTTTTGTTAGTGTTCCATCAATATTCCCCCATTTTTTTTTTACTTTGAACTTTTCTGCATCCTCATGAGTCTTAAATAACTTATATAACTGGATAAAAAAATGACTTCTGATGACACCAAAAGCAGGAACAATAACAATTTTTTAATTTTCTATATTTTTTAGTAAAATTTTTTAAAGTGATAAAATGGACTTGATTAAAATTTAAAACTTTTGCTCTTTAAAAGAGACCACTCAAAACATGAAAAGACAAGCCACAGACTGGGAGAAAATATTCACAAAACATAAATCTGATAAAGAACTTATATTCAGGATATATAAAGAATTCCTATAACTGAATGATAAGAAGCCAACCTAATTAAAATAATTGTCAAAAATGGGCAAGAATTAGTCATTTGGAAAATGCAAATTAAGATCACAAGATACCATTACATACTCACTAGACAGGACAAAATAAAAAAGACTGACAATTCCAAGAGTTGGTGAGGATTTGGAGAAACTGGAACCCTCATACATTACTGGTGGAAATGTAATGTGGTAGAGCTATTTTGGAGAGCAGTTTTTTCTAAAGTTAAACATGTATTTACTAAAGCATAGACCTAACAGAAATGGAAAGATATGTCTACACCAAGACATGCATATGTATGTTCATAGAAACATTATTCATAGTAGACCCAAAATGCAAACAATCTGCTGCCCATCAACTACTGAGTGGGTAAATAAATGTCATATATCCATACAACAGAGTGCTACTCGGCAGTGAAAGGGAATAAAGTATTGATACATATGTGGAAAAATCTAAAACCATTATGCTAAGTGAAAGACACTAGACACATAAGACTACACATTGTATGATTCCATTTATATGAAGTATCTGGAGAAGACACAACCATAGAGATAGAAAATGGATCATTGGTTGCTGAGGGCTGGAGGTAGGAATAGGGATTGACTACAGACCAGCATGAGAGTTTTGTTTGTTTCTTTGTTTTTGGCATGATAGAAGTAGTCCAGGGGTTTCTGGCTTGCTCAGTTGGTAGAGCATGTGACTCTTGATCTCAGAGTTAATGGATTTGATTGCTTAAGATTACTTAAAAATACAAGTTTTTTAAAATAGAAATAAAATCTTAATAAAAAAAAGAAGTTCTCCAAAACTGGATTGTGGTGATGTTTGTAATAATTCTATAAATTTACTAAAATCCATTGAACTAGTCACAAAATAGATGAGTTGATGGTTTATAAATTAGATGGTAATAAACTTGGTAAAGATTGTTTTTAATGTGTACATAGTCTCTGTATTTTTTAACTGGAGTATTTAGTCCATTTATTCTTTTTGTAATTATGGATATATTTGGATTTTATCCCTGTCATTTTATACTGTGCTTTCTATAGATTTTATCTTTTTTATATTTCTTTTCTCCTCCTTTCTTGCCTTACTTTGGTTTATTTTCTTTTTTCCTAATTCCATATTTCTCTCTCTGTTAACTGGAAGTGGTATATTCTACTGCTGTCTTATAATGGTTACCCTGGAAATGTCAACATGCATACTTACAAATCAAAGTCTACAGTTAATAGCTTTGCCTTTTTCTTGAATGACATAAGGAATTTATTTTATTTTTTTATTTTTTTTTCAATTTTTAAAAAATGTTTTATTTATTTCTAGGAGAGAGAGAGAGAAAGACAGCGTGAGCAGGGGAGGGTCAGAGAGAGAGGGAGTCACAGACTGAAACAGGCTCCAGGCTCTGAGCCAGCAGTCAGCACAGAGCCCGACGCGGGGCTCGAACCCACGAACCGCGAGATCATGACCTAAGCGAAAGTCGGACGCTTAACCGACTAAGCCACCCAGGCGCCCCATTGAATGACATAAGGAATTTAGAACACATTAATTATAGTAACTCCCTGCTTATATGTATTGCTAAAGTTACAATTTTTAACCCCATAAGACATTTTTATTATTAAAACAAATCAATAGTTTTTAATTACACACATTTTTTGCTCTCACTCTTTATTACATGGCAAACTCTTCATCCAGGATCTTGTTCTCAAAAGATTTTTTTGTAACAAGAGGAAATATATTGTAGTGGTTAGCAGCATGGTTTCGAGAGCCAGACTGTTTTACTTTTTCTACTGCTTTTTATTTCTGTTTTAAACTGAGGCAGAGGGCTACCCAGTAACAGTAGAGTCACATCTATTAAGTTATAGGGGCAGGATTTGTACCTACTAATTCCTTATATTTAAACCCAATAACATGCCTCCACTGTGGAGGGCTCGTAAAATCCCATGGTCTAAGAAATGTGTTGCTAGCACAATATGCCAGAACCCTTGTCCATTGTCAGCAAACTTACATGTAGGTTCAAATTCCTCCCACACCTTAAAGTTCATGAAGTTCATAAAGAACTCCTCTGTAAAAATTAACTTTACAAGCAAATCACAGGTGACTTGAATTTCAGCCTTATGAATGCTTATAAAAAATTCACTTCTCTGTGTTTCTTGCATATTTATTATTTTTCTGTAGGTAATAGAACTGTCTTGCAGAATTTATAGGAAAAGACTCCTTCCATAAAAATCCAATTCTATTTCTAGACTTTCTCCATCTTGCTTCACTTATTCCTCGGCAAACCAACAGTAAACCCTTGCTCTATAAAGCAAATCATTGATTTTTCCCCAATATAAAGTCACTTAGATATTGATAAGCCTCAAGAGAGATTGTCTGATGGAATTATTAGATGTTAGATAGATTTTGAAACCAACTCCGGTGAAGAGGGTCCTTTCAGAAGAGTGGTTAGTACAGAGCAGTCTTCTAGGTCTTCTAGATTCTCTACTATCTCTGTAAGTCTTTCTACTGTGTGACAGGACAGCACGCTAGAGGCATTGGCTCTGAACTTCTCCTGTAGGTCCTCCTGGCTCAATGGCTTCCTCCAGTGGCCATAGAAGGTATCAGAACGCTCCGTGAAGGTGGCTCCGTCACTGAGAGTGACACTTATCTCACAGTATAGTGTGTTGAAGCTTGGCAGGTTGTCCTGAGGGTGCTCCAGCTCCACCTTATTGAGCAACTCTCTCACCTGTGGCCTGTTGATCTGGCATTTGTGGAATGATGGGACAGTGATGCCACCATCGAGCAATGTGGCACAGGCCACATACTGGAAGGAGTGACGAGCTTCATGCTCCGAGTCTGGGAAGGGCCTGTTTACATACTGGACATCTGGAATTCTGAGCACAATTCTTGCAATGCGGTCAGTGGGAAGCAGGGCTCTGTCTGTTACAAGGTGCTTTCTCACAGATGCAGCTGCATCTGCCACCCAGTGGGTGGCCAGATGTGCAGGGAACCGCTTGAAGGCCACATCCTGCTGCTCCAGCAGCCAAGTGTGGGAATCTAGGTTTGGAAGGACTGTTGGGGAATAGTTGGCATAGAAGGCCCCAAACCCTGTCTGCATGTCTAAGACTTGCTTGTTTCCTTGGAGACCCAGCATTGCCAGAAAAGCAGCTTCCATCCCATGCCTGGCAGCATTGCCGATATGAAGAGGCTTGGTCTGAGTGGCAGCGTTTGCTATGGGTGCCCCGGCATGGGAAACAGCGATGGCCAGGGCCTCTCGGCACTTCGTCATGCTGAGCCCTAAAAACTTGGATGCAGCAGCAGCACTACCCAAGGTTCCTACCACCGAGGGGGGATGGAACCTGGAAAGCAAAAAAGCAGAGTTGGAGATTTACAGACCTCAACCACCAGGAGGCAGTATGGTACGGTAGTCAGGAATGTAGACAATGGAGCTCTGCTGACTGGGTTCAAATCTCAGCTCTACCACATACTAGCTGTGTGATCTGGGGAAAGTTATTCAACTTTTTTGTACTTGTTTCCTCTTACATAAAATGGTGACAATAATATCTGTCTCATAGGGTTTTGTGAGTTTTGACTGAATTCACATGCTTCCAACAGTTCCTGACACGATAACGTCTTTATAATTATTGCCAGAAAGGCAAAAGTTGTTGCTTGCTGAAATCCCATGTAAGTAGCTATAAAAATGGAGGGCCTGGAAGAAATTGAAATTTCACTTAGTATTCCAATCTACTCCTCTGCTAGCAGGCTGGATCAAGTGGAAAAATAAATATAAGATTGAATCACGTGATACAACCAACATGTGACTATTTTTATTCTATGGGTTGAACAGTCAGGGTCAGGATCTTCTGAATATTGTCAGTCTGAAGGACCTCAGCAAATATCAAAGTAGATTCTACTCTGAGACGAGATTGGGACTATTCACAGTACCCTCGGATGCCAAAATGACATGAATTGCCCTAGGACAAGAGGCCCCAATTTATTTTATGGTCATGGTTAGTTGATTCTCTAAACCCAAAGGAGATTTTTTCATTAGTTCTTCTGGAACCACACCTTTGTATATGGATATATGGTTTACTGTGTGACTGGAAAATTGACTTAGCTGTCAGCATTAATGTTAGCATCTTCAGCTGGGCTAACTAATCTCTGTGTCAGAAAGCTCTACAGAGATAACAGTCGACAGGTGAAGGGGGAATGTGTCTGCCTCTGGATGGGGCAAATTCCCTACCTCTTTGGTATGTCATTGGCTTCCTTGGAGAAACTCAGTAATTGGCCTTGCACTTCAATCCCAACATTGAAAGCCAAGAGCAGATCAAGGCCAGAACACTTTGGACTTGGAGGCAGAGCTTCTGATAAAGCCACAAGGACAGGAAGGACCGCTCCAGAAGGATGGGTGGCAGGATGCCAGGTATCGTCAAAATCCATTGAGTGAATCTGTATAAATAGACACACACAGACAACAACCAAAAACCAAATTAGATTTACCTGAACAAGTGGCTTTTGGACCAGTAAGGGTTTAGCTTAGTTATAACTTTATTTGATATGAGATTTTTCAATCTGATTATCCGAAAATAAAACCTATAAACTGGCTGTAATTCTCAGTCGTATAGCTGGGCACTGGATGTGCTGTCCTCTGCCCAGAGCAGGCAGGACTTTGGGGAGCAGCTAAAGAGCCCCAACGAGCTTGGCCCTTACCCAGGTAGCCAGAGCTTTCTGCCACGGCTCCTGGAAAGAGCAATATCCCCCTTGAAAACAAAGCTGTGAAATTAGGCAGCTCTTCCTCTCCTCCTCCCCCACCGTCCAGACAAGTTGCACTAAAAGTTTAATGTCATTTATTCCATATCAGGCCATATATTTTTGTACTTTTTTGTTATGAAATATTTTCAAACTTACAGGGAAGTTGCAAGACCTCTTGAACCCAGATTAACCATTAAGCTATATTTTAAAATCATTATTTTCTGCTATGAGGCTTTTTCCCTCTTCATCCTAGCCATTTGCTTATCCCTTATACGAAATAGTAACAGCCAGAAGTTCACTTAAAAATTGATTTCCGTCTCTTGGATGTGGCTGATATGGACACTGCTTGCCGGACATTTACTCCTGGATGCACTACTGGGTTTGATTTTCAGTATTCTGAGCTACTTTCCCACAAAAATATAAAAATATATCAGACATCCCAAGACATTCGTGTCTAAATTATATCTTGTATATAGATACAGACTGCTGCTGACACACAAAGCATAAAAATTGTCTGTCGAACAAAAAGTGCTGATTTTTGTTTCAGAAAATATAGACACCATATGGCTATTGTTTCTTTCTCAATAAACATGTGTTGAATGGACGGATAGATGAAAAGCTGGTTACTGAATAAAACCTGGTAGTGGTCACAACACAAGGAATTGAGTCTGGATATTGGGTTTTGTATTTTTTGCTGTATACATTCAAAGTTAGATACATTAAAGGTATTTTTATCTAACTCCTCCAACTGATTTCCTCTACTTCACAATGTGTTTGATAAGCATCAATTCACTGTAAAACATCAATAACTACGTAGAAGAGAGGACCAACCACTTCATCTCTCTGAGTCTCAATGACTTATCAGTGAAATGTGGAAATTGAGCAATTTCTGAGATATTTCCTGGCTCTGAAATTATTATGATTGCCTAACAGTAGAAAAGATATGTAAACATCCTTACAGCCACACCGTTCACAAAAGCAGCGTATGTCGGCGGGAGCCTTAAGTCTGGCTGGCCCCAAACAGTGCTGGCCACATTGGAACTGTAGATCTGGAACAAAAGAATAGCAATCAGCAATACATAGTGGAAACACAGCATGCCACATCACCATTTCAAGAGCTGTTCCTCATCTTTGGAGGCATGACCGTAATAGTGCTTGTTTGAAAACTTTGTGCTGGATCTCAGCCTTAACCCTTAGATTCCTCTCTTTCTTGTAGAAGAATATACTTTCCCTCTGGAAAAGAGAGGAGATGCTGTCTCCCAGACTGATCCACAGGTGGATCTGAATTCACTCTTATTTATTCCTTGAGGGTAAATACTGTAGAAGGTGGACAAATTGTGTATAAAATACATCCTTTGGAGAGCGGGTGTTATGTCCGTTTGCCACATACGCTCTCTGCTCAGAGTGCTGAACCAGCTTTTTTCCCAGAGACTCTGAAAGTCTTCGCATGAATAATGGTAGACCCTATTGGGGTAGATGTTATTGCATCTAGGACTCTCAGGTAGAAAGTGCTTTGTGTCATAATAACAGTAAATTTTGTGATCTTGCTAATGTTAAAACTAGTCTTAAGATTGGTCTTTAGACAGTAACTTAGTAAAGAATAGGGATCAATATTAAAACTCAGATAAATAGAGCATAGAAAAGCATAAAGCCATATACAACCATGCTATACACACCAAGGAATATCTAAAATGCAGAGTAGAGTGATAGAACATAAGCACACATCTCTGGGCACGTTGGTGGGTATACGTCATGAGCAGGCTTATGTGTACACTCGGTTTCCTCTCTACAGTAGACACTGAGCTCCTCACCTTACTGTATTCACTGGCTTTGTGAAACACTTCCGTGTTGGTTCCCAGGAAGCCAACACCCAGAGTGTCCAGAATCATCCTCTTGCTTCTCTGAATCACACGGTCGGTCAGGTGCTCCACTGTCAAGCCATGGATCACTCTGGCAAAGCTTTCTGTGACGGACTTTTAAAGATGATAATATTTAGGATATATTGGTAAATGAAATATATTTTTATAACTAATTTTACTAGCTTCTTACTTTTTAAAAATATGGCTACTAGAAGATTTAAAATTACACTTGAGAATGACTTCCCATTCATTCTTATTGGTGTAGATTACTGGGGGCATGGATACTTGGGCTGGCTATGAAAACTTCTGGGAGTCAGCAGGTGAAGGGGCCCGGGGCAAGGATGGAGGTTAAAGGCAGAGGTGCAGCATGAGAGGGACTTGGAGGCATGAGAGGATGCAGTGATTTAGGCAACCCCCCAGCTACAGAGCTGCACACAGGGGGCAGAAGTAAGAGGGACTCACAGGCTTGAACCGAGTCAGGAAGGTTCCACTATGCTGAATACTTCATGTCAAGGGGGTGCCATGGTGCTGTCTTTAAAAAGGTAGATGTTATCAGAACTGTGTTTTGCAAAGCTCTCTGTAGTGCTCATGTAGACAATGGGTTGAGGGGTAGACAAGGGCAGGTAAGAAAGAGACTACCGCAATAGCCCAGGTTTGGGATGGGGATATGGCAGTGCTGTTTGCCAAGAGAGGGAGCACAGGACGAGGAGCAGCTATCTGGACAATGATAATGGGCTCACTGTGAACTTGCTGAATATGAAGTGCCTGCGGTCATCCTAGCTAAGACCATTCTGCTTCCGCCCACAAACCAGATAATAAAAACCTGCAAGACTATTTGCATTTCATAAGCAGCAGAGTACTTTGCAATTCCTTTAAATATCAAGTTCTTCAATGTGTAGGCAATTATTTTGTTTTCTACACATCTGCCTAAGAGAACATCAATTATGTGTAGCTAAAAACCTCTACTCTTAAATTGTTTTTCACTACATGCCTAGTGCTTAGTACTACTTAGTAAATACCAGCTGCTTTCCCTTTTCTGCTCTTATTATTGCATCATCATACAACTTCCTTTGTCTCTCTGAGCATTAGACACTTTTATTTATTTATTTATTTTTTAAAGTTTATTTATTTGCTAGAGAAACAGAGCAAGTGGGCGGGGGAAGGAGCAGACGGGGAGGGAGAATCCCAAGCAAGCTCTGCACAGTCAGCATGGAGCTCAATACGAGTCTTAAACTCATAAACCCTGAGATCATGACCTGCTAAAACCAAGAGTTGGGTACTCAACAGTTGGCTCAGCCACCCAGGCACCCCCAGATACCTCGTTTTAAAACATTAGCTATAGGGTAAGGAATTTTCAAATTTGGAAGACCTGGGGTGTCTAAGAATAGTGCCGGCACAGAGGTGCAGAGCTGCATCCAGTGCCCAGCTGAAAGTCGTCAAGCTGGCCACCGGCTAGTCTCATATTTTCAGTCTTCAGATGATCAAGTCATGGAAACCCCACCATTTTCAAAAGGATGGACTACACTGTATGTCTCTGAAGCTTTGGTAGAAAGGCGAGCGAGTCTGGGGTGGGAGAGAGCAGGAGAGAACGTGAATGGGAGAGAGGATGCTGGCACAGATGTTTCTTCTAACTGGGAGGGAGACTAACAATAACTTTGTCACGCTGCTAGAGATTTGGTTAGGCATATTTAAGGGCAGACGGAGGCAAGGAGGAAAAAGCCCTGGCTTGATGATCCACCAAGTAAAACTTAGGGTTCTGAGAACTGATTGGACCCCTTGTTGTAACCAAAATGAGCTTTTTTTCAAAGTCTCTTTCCACCCCCACAGCTCCTACAGTTTAGGGCATCTGGTGATGGGTTGTTCACCTCTTCAGGGTTACATCTGTCCTGGGAGTGCCTTATGGGGAAAGGTGTGTGCCAAGGGAGGATTTGTTGTCAGGGCACTAACATGGCACCTGGAAGGTGACTGTACCATCCATTTGCATGACCCCATGGTGCTGGTGACCTATGCAGGTAGGGCCCTGTGGGGATTCCCTGAGAAGTTCTGAATAGCACTCTATATGCCAAAGAAATGGCTCATGAGGAAGGGAACATGAGAAAATAAGCATGCAACTGCTCCACTCTCTGTAGCCCCGAGCCCATCTATTTCTTTCTTTCTTTCTTTCTTTTGTTTTACAAATAGTTTATTGTCAAATTAGTTTCCACATAACACCCAGTGCTCATCCCCACAAGTGCCCTCCTCCATGCCCTTCCCTCCTCCCCCCCACATCCATCAGTCCTCAGTTTTTGTCAGCATTCAAGAGTCTCTCATGGTTTGCCTCTCTCCCTTTCCCCCACCATTTCCGCCCTTCTCGTTCCTCCGTCAAGTTCCTCCTAATCCTCCTATACGTGCAAACATATGGTATTTGTTCTTCTCTGCCTGAGCCCATCTATTTCTAAAACATTTCTTTTGGTCTTACTGATTTTCTCATGGCATTTACATTTCTTTTTATTTTACCTTTAAATTTTTTTTTAATGTTTATTTATATTTGAGAGAGAGACAGTGTGTGAACAGGATTGGGTCAGAGAGAGAGGGAGACACAGAATGAGAAGCAGGCTCCAGGCTCTGAGCTATCAGCACAAAGCCCGATGTGGGGCTCGAACTCATGAAACTATGAGATCATGACCTGAGCCGAAGTTGTATATTTAACTGATTGAGACACCCAGGTGCCCTACATTTCTTTTCAATAACATACTGTGATTAATTTATATATTAAGGCAAAACATGCAACCATTTAATAAATATTTCATGAGGTCTTACTGTATCTGGCACTGTGCTAAGATCTCTAGAATACCAAACCAAGATGTTACAATTCCTGCCACAAAAAGATTATCTTCTTCGGGGAGCTAAGGACAGTAAATAGATCATTACAAAGGCAATCTGGCCACGCCATAATGGACACAGACAAAACTGGGAGGTGTTGATTCAATGAACTTTCAATGATTCATTTTCTTCCTAATTTTATGCAACAGAATCATGTCTTTTACTGGTAAAACACTGATGAAAAACAAGATGCAGTTAATTAAATAGCCCAGAAGCATGAGAAATGTTAAAATGCCATTTTTGAAGAAGAAGCAAGAGGCTCCAAGGAAATAGAGAAAAGGAGAGGTAAGCTAGAAAACCAATTTAAATAAGCCACATAAAATACAACAATACCTTGAGCATCGTGTTGAAAGAGGAGGCTTCTCTCAGGAGTGACATGGAGGAGTACTTCACTTGTTAGGTGACTCCCTTTATACCCTTCATTCTTTCCAGCCCATTCTCTTTCACTTCATTCTGACGCTAAAGTTTCCATGATTTCAACACCTCCCAACTACAATTACTTCAACTTCCTCTTGAGTTGTTTAACCTACCAGGAGATGAGGAATTAGACAAGGCTGGGAAGTAATGTACAGATGGTCAAATGATTTCTCACAGATCTCAGGGAACTGAATGCATCTTGTGCTTAGACGCCATACATTAAAAGTAGAAAAATTTGCACTTTTATCCAGGTATTCTCACTTCTAAAAATTTATCCTAAGGAAATAGGCATGGATGTATGGAAAAAACTAGCAAAAAAAATTCACAGATTTGCTTATAATATTAAAAATCAGAAACAATCAAATGCCGCCTGTGGATTGGTGAAGTAGAATATGGCATGTACAGGAGCATCTGGGTGGCTCAGTTAAGTATCCGCCTTTGTCTCAGGTTATGATCTCATAGCTCATGAGTTCAAGTCTTGTGTCAGGCTCTGTGCTGACAGCTCAGAGCCTGGAGCCTGCTTGAGATTCTGTGTCACCCTCTCTCTCTGCCCCTTTCCCGTTCACACTCTGTCTCTTAAAAATAAATAACCATTAAAAGAATTAAGAAAAAAAAAAGAATATGACAAGTACAGTATTTTTTTTTAATATTTTTATTTATTTCTAGGAGAGAGAGAGAGAGAGAGACAGCGTGAGAAGGGGAGGGTCAGAGAGAGAGGGAGATACAGACTCTGAAATAGGCTCCAGACTCTGAGCTGGCAGTCAGCACAGAGCCCGACTCGGGGCTCGAACCCACGAACCACGAGATCATGACCTAAGCGAAAGTCGGACGCTTAACCGACTAAGCCACCCAGGCGTCCCGGCAAGTACAGTATTTAAGGTACACTCATTTCCCCTTCCATTTCAACCCTGTTGGTAACCGTTGTCTAGGGACAAATATGCCAGCCTGAGTTCCTGATAGCTTGAGACTAAGATCGTAGAAGGGCATTGGGAGTTAATCACACTTTCCCCAGCTTGTTCACTTGTTTGCTCCTGCACCACATTTTGGTATATGCAGATCTCTGTCCAATTCCTGGTCCTTTGCACAGCTCCTGATTCAGGATACACTGCCTGCCTCCCTGCTATTGTCCAAGGCCTCTTGCCCGACAGCTTTCCAGGCCTCTTTGCTTATAATCAATCACTGTGTCTTGGCTAGACTGGACCTAGCTCTGCTTCTCTGGGCAATTGCTATTTCCCTTGGGCTGTCTAGTCTTGGACGATTGGTTTATGCTCATAGTGGTACAGAAAACAGGTTATTTAAAATCTGAGAAACTCCTAAGACCAATTTTTACATGAAAGGGAAAATGGGCTCTGATGACTTCAACATCTCACTGTGGAAAAGCTTTATAAAGGAATGATGAGTTTTATCAAATCTGATGAGCTTTAGCAGAAGTGCCATCATTTAGATTCTCTGGGCTCAAGTTTTGCCAGTATTTTTTTTTTAATTGAAGGATGGTTGACACACAATGTCATATTAGTTTCAGTTGGACAACATAGTAATTTGACAACTCTGTGTGTTATGTGGTGCTCACCACAAGTGTCGCTACTCTCTGTCACAGGACCCTTGAGTATATTCTCTATGCTGTACCTTTCACCCCGTGACTTATTCATTCCATAACTGGATGTCTGGTATCTTCCACTCCCCTTCTCCCGTTTTGCCCATTCTCCCCACCAGTTTGTTCTATTTATGGGACTGTTTCTGCTTTGTTTGTTTCGTTTTAAAGATTCCATCTGTAAGTGAAATCATATGGTACTTGTCTTTCTCTGACTTATTTCACTTAGTATTATACTCTCTAGTTTCATCCATGTTATCACAAATGGCAAGATGGCATTCTTTTTTATGGATGAGTAATATTCCATTATATATAATACATATTATATACACACACAACACATCTTCTTTATCCATTTATCTTTTGATAGATACTTGGGCTGCTTCCACATTTTGGCTATTGTAAATAACACTGCGCTAAACATAGAGGTACATGTATCTTTTTGAATTAGCGTTTTCATTTTCTCTGGTTGAATACCTACTAGTGTAACTACTAGATTGTGTGGCATTTCTATTTTTAATCTTCTGAGGAATCTCCATACCATTTTCCACAGTGACTACACCAATTTACATTCCAGGTTTTGCCACTATTGAATTCAGAAGAAGAGCTAGCTCAATTATTTGCTAGTTTAATTACTTTGTACTTTTGTGGAACTGTGACCAATTTAGAGACCAAGGCCTTCTGTAATTAGAGTCACTTTCTAAGTATCCAGGGGCTTAAATGATAAATTGTACAATGATGGCACCTCTCCATTCAAAAATGATTGTTGAATTCCTTCTGCCTTCTGCTCTAAGTAGAAGCCAGGGCAATTGTTTTTAAATGCACATTTTCCCTTCCATCCCTCTCTCTGGGGAAAAGCAATGAAATGCCAGTCGGTAGAAGGCTCACACAGGAAGGAACTGAACGCTCCTGCTCACAGCCAGCATAGACCCTCCTCTTTCTATAGCAAATCCAGTCTTCAGAGACTGGGCCTGCTGGCAGCTAGACTCAGACCTTGTGACAGCCCCTATTCCAGAGCCGCCCAGCGAAGCTGCTCCAGGATTCCTGACCCTCAGAAACTGTTTAGGCAATAGATGTTTGTTGTTTTACATAAGAGTGTCTTGGGGGTTGTTACACAGCAGTAGATAATTTACAAACTCCAAGCTGTCAACCTGCCTTACCCAGGCACTTTGGATCTGAAACTAGTTATCTCTTTCTCATATTGGGCTTAGCATCTCCCCCCACCCAAGAGACCAAGGTGTTCATCATCTTAGGGACCTTTGTACTAGTGATTCCCTCTCACCCCACAACTTTCTTCTTATCTTCCACCTAAGTCAGAGGTTCTTAGCCAGGGAAGAGTTTGTCCTCCAAGGGACATTTGGCAATGTCTGGGGACATTCACCACATTTGTGGCATCTAGTGGATAGGGTCAAGGATGCTGCCAGACATACTGCCAGGTACAGGACAGCTCCATACAGTGACAAGTTAACTGCTCCAAAATGTTAATACAATCCAAGTTGGGAAACCTCTATCTACGTGCAGAGGCCACATCTAGGAGCCCTCTACAACATGCCAAGTTTAGCTCAACATGCCCTACTTACCTGTTCCCTTGGGGCACAAGGGTCTCCTGATATCCCTTATTAGATGGGAAAGTTCTGTTTGGCAGGAAGCTGACTTACCCTGTGGATGACTACAACCTAGGAACTCACATAGGACTCCATACATAGTAGGTGCTTTATAAAATTTTGTTGAATACATTAATGCAAACCTGATGTTTTCAACAAATCAATCATACTGTCACATGAATGAAATGTAAGCCCTCTTCATTCCCAATGGAAGTGTGCTAGGAAGATTTTTTTTTTAATGGTTGTGGCTTTTGTTCTAGTAGCAAGTAGAGTACAGTGGACAGATCTTTATCTGGACAAGAGCAGTGCTAGCTGTAAGGGATTGCTTGTGACTATGAGCTGTCAGAGGAAATCAGGAATATTTGAAAGAGCAGATCAGGAATGTGAGAATTCACACTATTTCTAAAAAAGGAAAATCCCATAAGTTGATCAATTTTGCACAGAGTAGCTAATTTGGGGTACTTGAACTTTGGTTTCTCTTTTTCCTGCCTTGCCCTTCCTGTGCTACTATTGAACAAAATCTGAGTCCGTCTCCAAACTGTGATGATTCAGTTTCATTTTCTTGAAAGCTTATGTTTTATCAGAAATCCATCACAGTGGCAGCAGCCAGGGTTTGTCTCCTTGATTAGTTCTTTGTTAATTTATTTGGGATACTAAAACACACCTACTGTGACATTGGCTTTGTAAAACAAGAAAATATTTTAAAACAATTATGAAGAGAATGCCTCACAGAGTCACAGGTTATTTTGTGTGTATATATTCTCTATATGTTCCCTTTGTGTATGTGTGTGTGTGTAAACTTTTCTTTACCAACTTATTAAAGTTTGAATGGCATTTTGCAAGTGCACAGGAAGGGATTAGGTTCCAAAGACTCATTTGGGAAGTGAAGAATGTGAACAAGTGAATGAACCTGTGGCTATAAAATCATTGCTTAATGCAACTGACTCAACATATTGTATTGTGAAGAAATCTTTCCATTTGTGGAAAGCTTAAGGTGGTTATAATTTATCCTTTAAATCACCCTACCTCAAAGAAAAGTATTGTTTGTAGCTTTTCTTATATACATGAAATAGTTCGTTAGTGTTTCTTAGTTAGCTGACAAGCACAGAGTGATTATCCATGCCTATATTGTTCTGCAGCAGATGCTTGCTAAAAGTAGAATAAAATGGGTAGGTGCCTTCTTTGAATGAATCTAGCAGACATTTAAAACATATTCCATGCAGACATTGTCTATGCACCTTTTGCAGACAGAATAGACCTAGTGAGCTTTGTTCTGTAGAAGCTATATTTATAGAATCATGGCCCTCAGAAAGAATGTGGCTAAGCATTTCAGTATATGTGCTGCCTAAGCGAGCACAGCATTTCAGCAACAAACATCTAGTTATCTCCTTTTGATAATTCCCATTTCATATGAGAGACTATTTTTTTTTTTTTGGCCGATCAAATTTTTCTTCAGCTCAGAGAAATTTTCTAGTATTATTTTCTTCATCCAGTTTCTTGTCTTTTCTCCTCCTGCACATATATTAGGTAGATATTGATGAAGTTTTTGGGGTGATGGTGGAGTTTGTGGGGTTTGGAGCCAAGAGCCACAAAAGAATTCTTGAGACGTCTTTGGTACAAAAAGGTGATTTTATTAAGGCATGGGGACAGGAACTGTGGTCAGGAAGAGCTTCCCAGAGATTGGTTAGCATTAAGGAGTTGGGGGAGGTAAACTCCAGAGGAAGTTTCCAATGAAATTTTCATATGCCAATGAAGACTCACAGGATACTGGAGGCCTAATTACTGTCAAGCTACGGCTGTTTTTCCCTCTAGCAAAGCATTAACACTA